GGCACCGGGGGAGGGCCCCCCGGCCAAGCCGGGGGACGTGCCAGCCTCCCCGCGGGCATGGCAGTGGCCGGGGGGGTCTCACCTTCAGGTCCGCAGGGAACTCCTCCTTCTTCACCAGCCCGGTGGCCGCCGCGATGTTGCCAGCGCCCGAGAACGCTGCTTCGCCCAGCTGGGACGCCTGCTCCTTCGCTTTCTCAGCCACTGCAAGAGCCGGGGGTGCCCATCAGTGCCCCACCATGCCAGGGAGGGGTGAACAGCCACGGCTCCATGCCCCGCACCACCCAGGGGGTGCTGGTGGGGAGTTGCTGGGCAGGATCAGGCCCTCCCCGCTTCCCTGCCCGGGCGCTGGGGAGGGGAGGGGGCCGGGACGCTGCTCTGCAGCTGGGCAGGGAGTGTGAGCAGCCGCCGCAAATCCTTCGTTGCGGGCCTTGTTATATAAGAGGCTTTCGCCGGGTGACATCAGCCCCTCAATTAGCCTCCGATCTCGTTAGCGCGGCCACACTCTCGGGGCCAGAGGGTACCGTGGCGGGGAGCCAGAGGGGACCGTACCTGAGGTGACGCCTTGCACCACGCCTTGGGTTTTACTCCCTGGGGGTAGAAAGAGACAGAGATGGGGTTAGAGGGGCCAGCAGCTGGGCTCTGCCACGTGCCGTGCCCAGGACCCTGGCAGGGCTCTGCGAGCCGGGGCAGCATCCTGCCCGCACCCCAGCCCGGCCATGCCGGGGGGCCCAGCACCCGCCTGGCTCCCCGCAAAGCTCCTCCAGTCCCTGCAGGAGCCTGGGCTGGGGCAGCACAGGGCCACCGCCGCATGCCAGGTAGGGCAGAGACCCCAAGGCCCAGCGCCGTGCCGGGGCACAGCCGGGCAGGGTGAACTCCGGCCGTGCCACTGAGCAAAGCCTCCCGCAGGAGCCAGGATCCATATCCAAAGCTGGTGCCAGCATGGCACGGGAAGCTCCACGGCCAGAGCGGCCCGGGGCCGGGTGCTGCCACGGGCCATGCTGACCCTGCCAGGCTCCCTTCGGGCAGAGCGACACCACCTGCAGATGCCAGGGCACTCCACGGGATGGGAGCGGGGTGTCTGCAGGGGCTGCGCAGCTCCTGCAGGCTGGGGCCTCGGGGCGCCCCTTGAGCTGCTGGATCCCCTTCCAGCGCACGCCCCCCTGGGCAGGGTGGGGGTCCAGGGCAGCCCCAGCCCTGCGCCCTCCCTCCCGCTGCAGGCAGGGGTGGCCTCAGCTCCCTCCCCAAGCCCCAGCCGGGCACGCAGCCTGCCCGGGAGCTGCCTCCTCCCCGCCAGCGATGTCTTCCAGGACTTGGCCCTGAACAGACCCCGGCCCCAGGGGCAGCACAGAGGGACCCCCCCGGCCGCTGGCTGGGTGCAGAGGCGATGCCAGCAGAGCCGTGGCGTGGGACACGCTCCAGGGCACGGCCTCTCCGAGGGGGACAAACGTGTCCCCAGCCTCCCTGCTCCCGGCCGGGCACATCCCAGCACGGGGATCACCACCTCCATCGCGGTCCCTCTGCGCTCCTGCCCTAGAGCATCCTCGGGGACCAGCCCCGGCCCTGCCCCTGCCCAATCCTCCTGCCTGCACATACCCTGTGGGCAGGGGGCGGGCAGGGCATTGCGGGCACCGGCCCCTCTGCCCCGGGGCACCCCGCCGGCGGGTGGTCGTGGCGGGGAAGGGGCAGGGGCAGGCAGGGGAGAGGGGAGCGGGGCCGGGGGGCCGGTGGGGGCGGCGGGGGGGGGGGGGGGGGGGGCCGCGGGCGAA